CTTCTGGTGGAGGACCCCTTGTCTGTGTCACCTGGTGGGTGGCATTATGCCAGTAGTGCAGTACAGCAGGAGAGATCACCCCACCAATCTTGGTCCTTTCTGAGATGCCTTCTTGTGGGAACTCACTAGTTCCCCTGATAACTACATCAGCCCTTCTGAAGACAGCGTCTCCAGTGACCTAACCAACCCTCTTCTTCACCAACCACCACACCAAGGACACAGCTTCCAACCCTCCAACACTTGGAGGAAACATCACCTCCTAACACAGCACATTTGACCTGGAGGGCCCCAGGGCTGGTTGGTTGTTTTTTTTTCTCTTTGAAACACATCATTAATCAGCGATTTCGGGGGCAGAATTCAGGTTAAGATCATATTTTTTTAGGCTCACATGGTTTTATAAACTAAATTAGTTGCCAATAGGTAAAAATCACATTTCATAGCCTCCCTTACAATATCCAAAAGTGGGTCCAGACTTTGCGGACGTGACCCCCTGGCTGGGAGAGCTGGAAGCTGAGCAGTGTGAGGGATGGGCACTCTCCCGTTGGCCTTGGTCCCCTCTGGGCTTAACTTCTGCACCTTCTATCTGCAGGCACAGCATGAGGGGGGACGTTTCTCTGACTGTGTGCCGTGGACAGAGTGTTCTACCCACAGGTGACCTCAAGTCTTTGGGGCAACTCTCTCAGAGTCCCCCAAGAACTGTTACCATCTTCTAAAAGCATCAGACAGATATTAAAAGAACACTCAGAAGATCACGATGAAAGACTTTAATTTCTTTTTCAAAATCGTATTAATACAGCACAAAACCACGGTCATCCTATCCAATGGACATGTGAAATATTACATGCAAAATAGTCACTGAGATTTCATTAAAATCACTGAGAACAGCACCTGGCACACGGCAAGCACTTGATGTATGTGAATACAAATTTAAAATGTAAGCATTTGAAATGTGGCTCAATTCACCCCTACACACACACACACACACACACACACACACACACACCTTTTCCCCTCCCTGTGTAAGCTCAGCAGGGAGAGGAGGGGGACGGAGATAAGGGGTGTGTGGTCAGGGGAGTGAGTGTGATGCCTTCGAGGGTGGAAGGACTAAAGCCCCCAGGTCTCCCCCTGCCTTGAAAGGCCCAGGAATCCCAGTGGGGACGTGAACTGGTGACACGGAGCCAGTCTGTACTCTGTACTATCAAGGGCTCACTCTGCCAGTCCCAAGTGTTCTGGGACCCTCTCCAAACTCCATTCCTTCTGTCTGGGCAACACGAATCCATCTGAACCAGGGTCTGGCTCACACAGGGGCCATGAGCTGCCAGCAGCCGTAGCTGGGCTCCAGCAGCCCAATGTCGCATCAATGTGCGTTTAGGGGTAGGGAGGATCCCGGCTTCACTCAGGATTCTGAAAGATTCTGGGACCCAAAGATTCACACATCTCAAGGGCAGTGGTGACTCAGGCTGACCCAGGCCAGGGGAGTCCTGTTGATTACGTGCCACAAGGCCTGGAGCCAGGCGGAGCCACCTTTGTCTGAGGATGGTCGCTCATGCCTATGTGCTGCTTCTCATTTGTTACATCCGGGTTTTTAAAAATTATGTTTTACTTAAATGTTCCATGCTCTCCAGGAAAGCCGAGGCAGGGAAGACTTCAGGATGTCACAGGGCAGAGGACCCCATGCTACAGCTGGAGATGGCTGACTCCCAGGACAGCTGCTTCCTCTGTGACTTTCTGAGGGAAGATGGCACTAGTGGAGGCCTAGCAGGTCCACCCCCTCCATCCATCCCCAACCCAGCTCTTGCCTGCAAGGAAGGGTGTGAGGGTGGCCCTGTCCCTGGGGAGGGGAGGGAGGCGCAGCCCGGGTTGTTCAGGGCTGCAGTAACCAAGTGCCCCAAGCTGGGGGCTGGACAGACAGGCAGGGTCTGCCTCGAGCTCTGGAAGGGCTGAAACTGAAGTGTGGGCAGGGCCGGGCGTCCAGTGACACCTGTAGGGGGGGTTCTTCCTTGTCCCTCCCCAGCTCTGTCAAGGCCATCCATCCTTGGTAGCCCTTGGCCTTTAGCTGCACGGTTCCAATCTCTGCCTCTGTCACCCATGGCCTTCTCCCTGGGTCTATCCAGGTTTCCCTCTTCTGAGAACTCCAGTCATATTGGATTAGGACCCACTCCAATGACCTCCTCTTTCCCAAGGTCACCTTCACAGGTATGGGTGGGTAGGACACCAGGATCTCTTTTGGGAGGCCACAAAACAAGTCAGTTCATCGCCAATGCTCCTGCCACCTCGGCCCACGTGTTGCAGTGCCCACACCCCCCCCTCCCCACTGGGCTCCTGGGGTGGGGGACACCTCTCCACCCAACTGAGCACCTTCCCCTTGGTGCACATTCTGAAGGGGGCGTTTTTTCTCCTCTGTCTCGGTTTCCTTCCAGACTGAGACGTGTGCATGCGAAATGTGTGTCTGCGTCTGTGGCACTGTGTGCCGTGTCTGTGTTTGGGGGAGGGGCACTTGGAGGGCGGATGGGTGGAGGGGAGGAGTGGGAGATGAGAGGGTCGGAGGAGGATAGAGCCACAGTCGTGAGCCCCAAAGTGACAGAAACAGAAGGAAACTGAGCTGTGACAGACACAGGAACATGGCGCCCTTTGGCCGCAGCCCTGTGAGGTGGGGCATGAGGGGGACACGGACTCTGTGCTTCAACAGAGACCCACGTGGCCCTGGCTGAAGGGGGGTAGATGATGAACACCCATTAGAGGGTGGCTCAGGAGGGTGCGAGCTCCTGCTTCAGGGCCAGGCCCAGGCCCAGGCCCTTCTTCCGCCCTCTGAGAGTCGCCTGTTCTTCCCAGACAAAGCTGTCAACACCTGTCCATGTCCCAGTTGCTGAGAAGGGGGACAAGGACAGTGGAGGGCATGTCTTTCTTTTGCAAGAATTATCTGGAAACTGCATGCGTCACCTCCCCTTCTCCAGGCCAGACGGAGTCATGTGACCTTGCCAGCAGCCTGGGCCTGTGGGACAGGCCGCCCAGGCCCCTGGAAGGCCACCGTGTCAGGGATTCCGCAGGATTCGACAAGGCAGCCAGGATTCTGGGGAATAATTGACGGTCTATTTCGATTTTAGAAAAGGAGTGTCATTAATCCACCCTGCACCCCTAAAAGAGCAAAAGAAATCCAATGGCACCCAGACAAAAAGGAATATGAGAGAACTCGGATTGTCGTGGGGGCTCGTCCCGCGCCAGCGAGGCTGTGGGGCTCAGGGGGAAGGTGGCAGCCCAGGCAGGTGTGCGTTGGGCTGCTCCACGGCCAGCTGGTTCTCCACCACGTAGCACGCTCTGCAGCTCTCCAGAACCCGGGCCTGGAAGAGGGCCTTGTCCTTCTCCTGCCAGGAGTCCGACTCGATGTACACGTTGAACGGGTCGTGGGAGTGCTCCAGTTTCTTGGAGCGGATGTAGCTCAGCATGATGCCCAGGGTGAAGAAGCCGAAGAAGCCCAGCACCATGAGGATGTAGAGCGCGGCCAGCTGGCTGTCGTCGCGGGCGGGAGCCCTGCGGGCCAGGCTGGACGCGTTGATGCCCTGTTGAACTAGCTCCCGCCACAGCGTGGTCAGATAGGGCATCACCGCCGTGGAATTAGACAGGATCATCTGGGCTTCCAGGTTCCACCTCTGGACCGAGAACTTCCCAGGCAAACTTCCTGAAAGAAAGATGCAACCTGACATCAAGGATCCACCCGTCACACCCACGCCCGTGCACACATGGCACATGAGTCTCCTCAGGCCACAGCGTGTGTCCCTTGGGTCTGCACCATGCCCTTTGTTGATGGATCAGTTGGTAAGTCAATTCCCTTTATGTCCTTATCCCCCACACAGGTGACCAGTGGCCTGCGTTCCATTAGTACATATTGTCGTAGATTCCCGGATTGTGTTATATGTGTGCATTTTAGTTGGCATAAATAGTATTGGGTTCCGTGTCTCAGTGGGTCTCTCTTTTCCTTCACCATTGTGTTTGTATGCATGCTCACGTTGCTGTGTGTGAGTGTGCGTTCCCTTAAATTCAGCTATTGCACACACCCTGTGAACACTCACTTCTCTGCTCTGCCCACCACCCCCAGAGATGGACACCTCTGTGACCACAAACTCCATAAACAAAGGAAAGACAAATATCCTTACCCTTGTCCTCTTAGGGGCCTGAGAAAAGTCACATTTCATACAACTAGGTCCTGGAGACTGAATGACTCGTCAGACTGACTTACTGTCATGGCGCCCTGGGGAGCAACGAGCAATGGGTGGCTGCTGAGGTTTGAAGTGTCACCCCCAAAGTCCCTCCTTTGGAAATCTGCTCCCTACTGCAACAGTGTTGAGAGGCAGGACGTTTAGGAAGTGGATGTCAGAGGGCAGAGCCCAGAACTCATTTGTGGATTGAGGGGTCCTCTCTGGCAGGCTTGCTCTGTCCCACCAAGGGATGCCCTCCACCATGTTTAGGGGCAGCACGAGGCCCTCACCACATACTGAGCTCATGTTGGCACCAGAATCTTCCCAGCCTCCAGGATCATGAGCTAACTAAACCTCTATTCTTTATACATTACTCTGTATGCAGTTATAGCCACAGGAAACAGACCACAGTGGTCTATGGCACCGTGGACATCTCTCTAGGGACAGCCTCATTCATTTGAATGGAACCTACCCCATCCCGTGGCAGCCTTTGGAACGAGCTGTCAGAGCCCACTGAAGCTCCTCCCCAAGAGGCCGGTGGAGACCCTGTGCTGTCTGCCCTTCTCTGTCCACTATCCTCCACTGGAAGGCTTAGCATGGCCGGGTAAGCCTTCCATCGACGTGGCACACCAATATGCCCGGGATGGCTGTCCACCTCAGAAGCCCAGGTCTAGGTCTGCAGAGTAGACCTAGAGCTCCATTTTCATAAAATTGGCTAATTTAACAACCAACACTGAAGCCAGCACCAGGTGAAGACATTTTGCTCTTTCCAAGGCCCCTCTTGCTCTATCCATCCTTGAAATGTGGACGTACCTTAGAGTCCACTGGTCGTCTTTGTCCACTTTTTCCCTGGATGATCACACCCTCTCCTCCAGGTTCACTCACCTGACCTGGACCCTGGTCTCCCTTCTAGCCAAATCTCCAATGACCCTCCAGGGGCCAACCCCATCCTGCCTCAGTGAGCTGAATGGCAATATTATCAGCCCCAAGCCTGAGTCACCCTCATGGCAAATCTCACCATCTCAGTGTCCCCGTGGAAGGCTTTCCTCGGCTCTGCACCTTCAGAGGAATACCTCCTTGTTGTGTGGCCAGAGGCCTTAAATTCCAGGGGCCCTGCCTTGATCTCCAGCTTCACTGTCACCATGGTGCCCAGACACCATGCCCTTGACCCCTGGTGCCCTGTGGATCCTGCAAACCTCCTTCATCTTTCTGTGCCTCAGCTCACTTTGGCTCTCCTGAAATTGTGCTACTCAGGCTTGGCCTGTGGGACTCCTTCATGGTGCCCTCTCATGCTTTCCAAGTCAGCTCTCCTTCCGGAAGCCTCTGCTGATGTATGAGGCTAGCTCAGCACCACCCACAGCACGTCCTTCCCACCTTCATCACAAACAGGCTCTCTAGGCCCCTCACCCTGTCCCCCACTAGATCTTTAGCCTGGTACCTGGCACATAGAACACAAGATCTGCCAGGAAAGTTGTTGGGTGGAAGCCACCGGAACTTAATACCTTTCCCTGAGTGGGGCCTGATTCCTTAAAACCCGCTTAAAATAGTTACTAGATGCCAAGGAGCTGGCTTCAGAGCATGAGCTAACTTTCTCCCACCCCAAACAACCCGAGAGCATGCACAGAGGAGCAGAAATAGCTGAGGCTTTGGGATGGCCCCTCCATCCCCGGGTTTGGATCCTGGCCCTGCTACCTCCCAGCCACAGGATCTTGGATGGGTTCCTCAGGTGTGCCTTTCCCCCTTAGTAAAAGAGGAAGAAACATCACAGGTATCTGTGGGCTGTTGGATCATTGATACAGCATGATGACCCTACATTGGGCACAAATGTGACACTTTGTGGTCCCCAGTATGGGACTGTTTGTTTTTCTACCTCGTTAAGAAATTACAGCCCAAGGATTTGGGGTTTGATGCTCGGCTTCCCCATGGCTGACCGCTGCGGCTCTCTTCTTTACTTATGGAGAGACTGGTCTTGAATGAGAAGTGACGATGGCTTGTGACTTCCTGACTGCTAGGCTTCTGAGTTTGTGCACAGAGGCTTATTAGGGATAGTAGAGCTGTGTGGGCTTAGGAGACACCAGTCACTGATTCTCACACAAAGTCGACATTTATCCCTCGTCTGATAACAGATCCAAACTCGATGCTCAACAATTTCTTCTTAAATGACTTGGAGTCACATAAGACTGCGTAGAACCCGACTCCAGAAAAGAATAGGCCTTGAACTGAATTGATGATATTGTTGTTATTTCCAAAAAACCCAGAGTGACCACAATTGGCAAATAATTCTGCTACCAATTACTATTAGGGGGTTCTTATAGCTTAATGACCACATGGGAGTAGACTATGGCGGGGAACATTAAGAGCCCAAATGTTAATTGGTTTAGAACCAATAACTCCACACAGCAAATTAACTCAAGAGTAACTTCTGTATTTAATTCATACTGGTGGATTTACTGAGAAGACTCATTACTTAAAACCAGATGGAATTTTTCTAGGGCCCGAGGAAGCAACCAGAAACATCTGCTTTGGAAACCTCCTGGACCTGGGCCTTATTCTAAGGTGGTAGGTTCAAGCTTCAGTATGCTTTAGAAGATTGGGTTAAAATGCAGATTACTGGACTCCTCTGCTTCCAGAGTGTCAGAGGTCCCTGACAGGGCCTGAGAATTTGCATTTCAAACACGTTCACGGGCAGTGGTGATGTTGCTGGTCAGTGCTGGTCAGGAGACCATGCTTGGTATCCTACTGGAATCCCCTGTGGCACTCCAAGTGCTGCCTGGATCCCACCTCCAGAGACTTGAATGAGGTCCATCTGAATTCCTGCCAGGCAACGGGACTTTTTAAAACCATTCTGCTACAGTTTGAATGTGTCCCTTGAATTGGACACTTAATCCCTAAGACAATAGTCTTAGAGGTGGGTTCTTTAAGAAGTGATTGATTAGCATGGATTCATGCCTTATCTTGGGGGCAGGTTTCTAATAAAAGAATGAGTTTAAGACTCTCTCTCTCCTTATATCTATTTCTTTTTCTCATGCCCCACCACTTCCCTTCTGCCTCCCATCCTGGGATAAAAAAGGCTTTCTGCCAAATGGGAATCCCTTGACCTTGGACTTCCCACTTCCAGAACTGAAAGAAACAATCCTCTATTCTTTATATATTACTCAGGCTCAGGTATTCTGTTATAAGAACACAAAACAGTCTGACATCCCTCCAAGTGATCCCTGTTTGCAGCCAAGAAAGATTAAGGGCCTCTGGGCTGTGGTGTGGCACCTTAGAAAATTGACCACTCAGTCTTTTGTGCTGCAGAGTACCTGGAAGAATCTTCTAAGAATGCAAAACGTGATTTCACTGTCTAATTTTTTTTAATCTCATTTGTTTTCCAGATCTTTCTTATTCTTGTGTACCTTTGATGTCTGAATTGAAGTTTCCTGAGAGAAATTCTGGCCTTCACTGTACCCCCATCTGCCCCCATCCTAATGCACACTGGTAACTTAAGTGATTATTAACCTGTCAGAGCTTTATGACAGACCAGAAACAACTACTTTTCAGAAAGCAACTCTGCAGTAAAAAATAAATAAATAGATCTTTTCTTTCTTATATTTAATTCATCACATTGCTTTTGCTAAATGCCCTCTGTACCCCAAAGCCTGCAGGCTGGGTCACAGAGGTATTTGTGTAATGTGTCTTCAAATGAGCTGGGCAATGTCATCCTAACAGTCAGCCAATCTGCCTGCCATTAGGGAGCTTGTGTCTGATTCTCCAAGTTCACACTCCATGTAATGTCAAAGCCATGGCCCTGGAATCAGACTGCTGCACTCAAATGAATCTGGAGAGCGAGGGATCCAACAGTCTTATAAGGCAGGGCTCCATAGAGGAGAGGACACTTGCCCAAGGTCATCTCTCTTATCAAAGACACGTGTGAAATCTAATATGTTGGGTCTTGATTCACATTTTATTTGTATAGAAAAAGGAGTATCTAAAACCTTGTAGAAAGGGGACAGACTAGTTGGCTCAGAGTAACTGAGAAATCAGCCACTTTATCAGGTGAAATTGGATCTCACAAATGAGGATTCCCATGGGCAGACAGGGGAGGCCTGGATGTTAGAGCCAGATACCTAAATATGTCACCTGTAGTTGTCCCACGCCCACCTCTCCATACCCTAGCCCCAGCCCCCAGAGAGAACCATGGCTTGTGTAACTTGCACAGTGAGTAAGGGGCTTCCCGCCCTTCCTGGTGGGAGGCAGTCACAACAGGAGCCAGGGATGTCCAGCTCCATGCAAATCCAGCGGGATGCTCAGCCTGTGCTGAACATTCTCATACTGGGTCTTGTTGGGTCCAGAAAGAGGCGAATTTCTACAAGTTTCTGCATCTGCCTAGATTGGAGGCATGGGCACAGCTCCAATCAAGCGAGTGCACTTTTGTTGTTATTGTTCCTTTTCTTAAAATCATGGGCCCAGAGCTGCCGGTGTGCTTGAGATCACTCAGAAC